CCAAGTCCCCTCTAGCCGCTATAAATAGGGAGCACAGGGCGCATGGGTGTTACCTGCCAGGCTCACTGCCGGCTCTGCCCCGGATCCAGCCCCTCGGGGCACACCCGCCGCCTGCTCCAGGCTCTGCTCTCGAGGTTGTTGCCAAATCCACCGCTGGATGAAAAATCTGGTCCTGCCACCACGGAAGTTGGGGCACCCCCTCTTTGCCAGATGCCCCTTCCCTCAAGGGGTGCTTCTGTTCCATGGCAGGCACCAACCCTGACACTGTTGCAGTCCAGGCGGTCACGACACAAAGGAGAGACTACAAGTAGTCTCAGTTGGCAACACTTTATTAGTGAACATGGCTGATCTTTTATACATTTTTTAATTGTTTCTTTTCTTCTACCTTATCTATTAGCTACAATAAGTCAATACTGTGCTATTAGTGAAAGTTATAGTGACTTCACCTAACTTTCTAAAAATGCTTCGATTAGCTGCAAAGTACTCTTACCTTTCTTCTCTCAATTTCTTTAGTTACAGCCTTAGAGAAAGTTCTTTATCAGCTTCTTATTACTTCTCAGCTTCTTCTCGCTCCTTTAGCTAACAAGCCCACTGTTAGCCCCTTCCACATGACACTGCTCCCATACATGTGGCAGGGTATCATCTTGTAAAACAACAACCTCTGTTTAAAGTCTGGCTTGTGTACCAGTTAACCAATACCAAACCCAGAGAGGATGTAAATGGCCAGTGCAAACAGCCTGGTGTAAATGCAAAAAACTTTATAGCACCAACTTCATGGATTAGATTTACATTACCGCACCTAGAAAGAGAATGAAGAGGACCAGGTGAAGCCCTTGAGCCAGGCTCAGGGCAGCACAATGCTGGGGATTCCCTGTCTTGTACTGAATCAGCCCGGGTTTTCATCCTCTGATGTGCACCACATTCAGATTGTTTAATGTCCTACAAATTCCATTCTTTTTAGGGACACACTGTGCTTGTGCTGGGTTTGCCCCACAGCACAGGGCTGTTCTCTCAGTGGTTGGGAAAAGAACAGCCTTGACTCTATTCCATGGCAACTTGAGCAGATCTCAGGTCTTGCAAGCATTTCCTAGAAACGTTCAGAAGTGCAGAGTGTAGAAACTGATGGATTTTGCTGCTTCTCCTCACCGTCTCAGCTTATGGTTTGGGCTGTGTTCCACCAAATCCTGTCAATGCACCCACCAGGCTCCAAGAAAAGGCAGCCCATAATGAGCAACATCACCCTGACTGCAAAGAGATGCTCAGTACAACTGCAAACTTCTGCAGTTTGGGAAATGTTGCAGCTTTCACAAACAGCAAGACAATTCCCCAGATAAAATAATGCCAGTTCTCTTTATTGTAGGATGAAGTAGAGATGTGAGAGGTTCATATGCTGCCCTCACACAGCGCTCACTTGTCAGGGTGTGCAGAGAGAATGCTCTGAGAGCAGAAAGGCTACTCAGGTTACTGTATAACCTAAATAGTTTTCCCATTGAAGAAGTTTCAATTGCACTTACAGGAATTTAAAAACCAATTTCATTTTCAGTTTCATTATGATGTGTTCTCCTGTGTTAAAGCCAGTGTCTTTCCTCAGATGTAAGAATGAAGGGCCGAACAAAAATAAAACGGAAGATTGACTTGGTTATTTTGAGCATGGTAAAACTGCTGTTTGGAAAACCAATGAATTAATTCCTTCCTTTGTGTTCCTCTAATGCAGAGCTTTTGGTTACCTACTAAACAATCTTTTTGAGAAGCCACAATTTTTTCACTTCAACTCCTCTGATTCCCTCCCTGATGGGGCTGCCAGGGCAGTGAGTGAGCAAGTGGCACCTGGTGCTTTGCTGCTGGCTGGGGTTAAATCTGGACAACCTGTTCAGAGCACACAAAACCAGCCAGCCTCTCACACACAGCTCTTCTGCTCTCACCTGTCCCTGCAGGCCAGGCAGTTGCCTGTAAGAAAAGCAGCACAGACTCCGTGTCTCACAGGTGGGATGCAGCTCACCTGCTTCCAAACACTCAGGGAAGATGCTCCAGGTAAAGGACAATCAAGCACACTTAGCCTGAAGGGTTTTCTTCCAAGACCATGCACACATCAGCTTTGTGACAAGGAAATGGTGTGGCTCAGTACGTTTGTAAACTCTTTCTAAGCAGGGAAAAACCATGCAAAACACCATCATGCCAAAACCAGAGCACTCCTGTAGAACTCTGAAGGGTACAGCTTAAAAGACCTGACCTTCTCTCTGACCTCCCAGGAGTTTCTCAGTTTAAGCAGGACAAGTACAGAGTCAAGACACTGCACATGCCCTGCCTGCTCCTTTGCAGACATTGCAGCCAGGGCTTTCCCACCTACTTGGACCCTCAGGTGGAAAAACCCTCAGCAGTACTTTTTTGACTTTTTTGGAAAGTTGATGTTAAAATCACAGATCTACAAAAAAAGCCTACAGGAACCAGCTGATGAATAGGGATGAAAAGCCTGTACCAGTGCAAATGCGCCCACCACAAAAATCATCACAGGCAATGAAATAAAAGTAGAAATGGTAAACAGGTTATTGCTGCCGGAGGTCACTTTAAATGATGTCAATCCTGACTTTTTATTTCTTAATGATATAGCGGGGAAAAGCAAGGCTGAACAGTTGAACTTGGATGCAAAGTTAGATAAAAGAAGATTTTCGGGCAAATAAAGTTTGTATTTCTGACAATTTATTTATTAAATATTAATTATTTATTGTTATATTAATATTATTTAATGATTACAGCAAAGGTGGCACAGTTGCTAGGAAGCCTTGATGGGAGGTGCTGCAAAAGCTGATCAGTGAATGCTGTGGCCAGGAGATCCCCCTGCCCTGCTCTGAGCTCTTCCTGATAGCCCATCAGTAGTACTTTCTCTCTCTCTTGGATGAGTCCCCAAACAAGCCCTTCACAACAGCAGTGGCAAGGCCAGCAAGAAGGATACCTCCTACAGCTGCTGTAGTACCAATTACTACTTTTGTGACCTATAAAAGAGAAAGCAAAACACATGCTGGAAATACGAGGAGCACTTATGTTTACTCCCCACGCAACATGATAAGGGAGAAAAGGCAGGGATATTCAGGGTAAATAAATCAGTGAGAGGCGTGTGCCTCATTAGCAGAAGGGGCAGCAGCCAGGTTTGTCCCCACAGGAGGTGGCACTCAGCGAGAGGGCACTGCCAGGGTGCAGCCAGAGCACAGGGACCCTGCAGGGGCAGGGGCTCTGGGGAGGCAGTGCTGCTTTGGAGCCCACGCCTGGCACCGAGCTGTGCCCTGCAGGCTGCAGGCTGTGTCCCAGTGTCTCAGCCAGGAGTTGCTCTGGGAGGCACCCAGGGCTCACCCCTGACACTCACCTGGTCTGAGACTCCTTCTCCATAGCGGAGCATGGTCACAAAGTGCTCACAGTTGCTGGTAAGCACATCATATGGCACCTCCCTGTCAATCCATTGCTCGGCACGCCGGATGATCTCCTTCACAGGGAAAGGAGTGCGGGAGCGGTCATACTTGTTGTTGACACGCCATTTATGATTTTCCACCACCACTTTCAGGAGCTGCTTCTTCACCTTGGCCTTTTTGGTGAATACTGATGTGGTGCTCACCAACAGAGATGGGGCTCCTTCATCTGGGGAAGTCAGGGAAGAGATAAGGCAGGCAGGCAGACCGTCTCTGGACTCTCCACAACCTCAGATGGATTTCCTCTGCTCCTGGACAGGTCATCTACACACTCAGAGTCTACCAGCAGCAGCACATAGAGGGAGACAGGGCTCCCGGGGCATCTCAACACACACTTTGTTGGCGGCACAAGCCTTACCTACAGGTGTGACGTTGATGACATATCCGTCCCCAACATAGAGGGCCCAGTGCTGGTAACCTGGCCGGTCGATCTCGATCAGGTCCCCGGGCTGGGGTTTGCAATTGTCCTGTCCCATGCCGGGCTGGCGCAGTGAGGCGGTGCAGTTGCAGCCGGGCCGGCTGAGCGCAGGGCAGAGCGCAGCGGGCAGGCGAGGGCCGTGCAGGGGCAGCTGGCGGGAGCGCAGGCACGGAGGGTGTGAGCGGCGGGCGCCGAGGGCAGCGGCTGCCGGAGCGGGGCCGGGCCGGGCCGGAGCCGGGCCCGGGGCCGCTGCCGCCCGCCGGCGCAGGGCGAGGCAGCGAAGGGCGCCGCTCGCAGGCAGCGCATCCGCCCGGGGCCGGGCCGGGCCGGGCGGGCGTCCGGCTGCTGCTGCCGCCGTGCCCGGCTGCCCCCGCCCGCCCGCCCGCCGTGCCCGCGCTCCCCTCCCGGCCGCGCTCCGCTCGGGGCTCCGCCGGGGCCGGGCCGGGCCCGCTCCGCTGCCGGGACGCGGCTCCCCGGGGCTGCCCGCGCTGCCCAGCCGGGCCCGGGCCCTGCGGCACCTGCGGCCGCCCGGCAGAGCCTGCAGGGGCCGCATCCTGCTGGGAACGCCCGCATCCCCCGGGCCCCACTCACCCCGACGCCTTTCCCGCTGCTGCCGTGGCCGGGATCCCGGCCCGCGGCTCCCGCTATAAATAGGATGAAGATGGCGCTTGCTCCGATCCTGTCGGGCTCACGGGCGACGCTGACCGAGAACTACCCCATCCGTCTCCTCTTCCATCTCGTTCCGTCCCACCGCCCCCGCCTTCTCCCGCCCACCGTCCCCCCCCATCCGGGCTCCCACTCCCATTGGGAGATTGTTTCGAAAACCACTGGTTCAGTGGAAATTCCGATCCCGTCCCCGTGGAGGACGCGCCATTGCCACTTTCCCGGAGCCTTCCGCAGCTCCTCGAGCCCCTCCAGCCACGGGGTGGCTCCGGTCCCGCTCGGCCGAGCGGTGAGTGAGTGAGCACCCCTCAGCCGGAAACCTTTCGAGAGAAAAATGGGGTGCTGCCGTTCTACTTCTTCACCGTGATGAGAAACAGAGGAGGTGGAGCTCTGAATGAAATAGTTTTAGGGCAAAGGGATTTTTAGGATGTGTTTTTATAACGTGGCCTGTGCATTTCCTTTGGGACAGCAGAGGAATTTCATGATTGTGCCCTGCCAGGGTCCCGGTCCAAGAAATAAGCACAGCTGAGCCTGTACAGCCGTCTCCTTTACTGCTGCTGGCACAGTGTGCTAAAACTAATGAGAAAAGTGTCCTCTGGGTAAGCTGAACTAAGCAGTATTTAAAGCCTTGCACATCAGAAATCAGGCAAGCAAGCTGGTTGATATAAAAGATGAGAGCAGTGGAAGATTTGCCATCTTTCTGTCTTCCAGTGACATTGTTAATTCAGAGGAGCATTGAACAACAGTTCTGCTTTGTGTATCATCCCTTTCTTTAAATCTGAACTATTTGCAAAGATTTGCAGTGGAAATTTAATCACCAAGGCAATTCTTGTGGTATGGAAAAAACCCCAAACATATACATGGAAACCCAGATATTTGCTTTACCTGGGCACAGCAGGGTCCTGTTGCTTGGGGGAGCCTGGGCTGGGATCCTGCAGGGGAGGGACTGGCCTGTGCTCCCACCCACGGGTGGGCAATCACAGAATCATGCTGTGGCAGGCACGAGAGTGCGATAGAAACTGCCACTGTACAGGCAGCAAAGATGGTATTATAAACACAGTGAAATTCCAGCATAAAGTTGACAGTTCATTTGTGCACGAGTAGGCTTCTCTCACTGATTCATTTTCATTGTGTAATGAGGTTGAAAGGCCCTTTCTATTCATACCCTTTCCAAAATAGATGTAGCCTGTGTGTATGGACAGCTGTTGTGCTCTTGAATGGACCAGAATAACCTAACTCACCCCAGAGACTGCAAATCCTTCTCTGGCTAACAGTGCACATGAGTTTAGGGACACAAGGGAAAGGAAAAAGGGCAATTAAATAATAACAAGCACTACAGAAGAAAAACCAGCAAGTCCTGTCCAACAAGGTTTCCTGTTAAGGAAACCCTCCTGTCCAGCCATCCAGGACTCACTCTGGCAGTCTCACTTGCTGCACTTGAGCTAGGATTGAGGCCCTGTCAGAGTCCCTTTGAGGTGGCCCCCTTGACTCCCTGTACACTCCACACTCACACATCCAAAATTTTCTCACCTGCACAGCCCCAGGTTTGCCATAGCAGAGTCTCAAACATCTGGATCCTTAAAATAAATTAATCATGGTGCAACAGCAAAACAACAGCTTGAGCTTTATGTCTCAAAGCTTCACTCATAGCCCTGCTAATCTGTTCTGGACTTGGACAAGGCTCAGGCAATGCTTCAGTCTCTGAGCTTTGTGAGTGGTCTGTCGTGGGGTGGGTCTCACACACAGCATGTAGGTAGGCATTGCTGCAAATGCCTTTGGTCTCCTGATGTAGGGCAGTCCTTGGTGTGGTCTGGGGCTGAGTTGATGCAGAGCTCCTCTCACATTCATCTGTGTGGCAGCTTCTGGGTTTGCAAAGATCCCCACAGAGACGTTATGATACGATCTCATTCTTCAGAAAGTTTTTGTTAAGTTATGCTCTTATTTAGTCCCCACAGACTGGGGAGTGGTGACAAGCCTGCTTCTTGCCCCTTCACTCCAAGAGGAGAATGGAGTTCATCCTTTTTATTACATCTGTCCTCAGGTGAGCTCAGTTTCTTGTTTCTCTCCCCAGCTGGACATGCCTTGCTACAAGTGGGATAAAGAACTGTGTCCATGTTGGTCAACTAATCCCCTCCCCTTGGAAGGATTTGGGTAAGATGTCATGAAGACCTGTCTGGGATGCTATAAATAGTTCATAGAATCATAGAATGATTTGGGTTGGAAGGAACCTAAAGATCATCCCATTCCAATCCCCTGCCATGGGCAGGGACACCTTTCATCAGACCAGATTGCTTCAAGCTCGGTCCAACCTGACCCTGAACACTTTCAGGGACAGGGCATGCACAACTTCTCTGGATAACCCATTCCAGTGCCTCACTGCCCTCATAGTAAGGAATTTCTTTCTAAGATCTAACCTAAACCTACTTTCAGCTACCTAACCTTTACCTACTCTCTTTCAGTTTGAATTCTGACCACATCAGCCTATGGTTTGTACATCTCTCCGAGGTGTGGATGTCGTGTTGTACAGCACATTTGTGCCATCAAAATCTGTCTGGAATTTATGCTTTTCAAACTTCCTTTGAAGACAACAGAGTCTCTTCCGTCAGTTAGAACATATTTCATTTTGGGCCTACAACGTAAGATCTGAGAGCTATTTTAAATGAACAATTACAAAGGTTTTCAACAAATGCAATGATAAATTTATTATTATTTCTTCTCAAAATATTAGAAATATGATTAAAATACAGAGTAAAAAGTATGACAAATTATTAGGAACAATATTGTTAACTATAGATGTGCATTTGAGGATTCATTTTGATCAAATGCACTGTTCACAATGCAGCCATAATCTTGCTCACGTACTCTGGCATCCAATTTGTCCCTGGACCCTTTCAAAGAAGAATCCCTTGTTATAACAACTGTATCCACATTTCTCTTCGTTCTGTACAATGGGGAAAAAAAAAGAAAAAACCAACATATTTTAATTTCAATTCTTATTTATAGTGAGTGATCAAATAATGCTGTGAGCATGAACAGAAGTGAGTTTTGGAGAAGCTAGAGTTTTATCATAAGTGATGCATATGCCCTGTGTAAAAGAAATGGGATGTGTTCACTCCTGATAAAAAAAGTTTTCCCTCATATTCCTCAGAAGAGATCCCCAGTGCTATGGCTCCTTTCTGCTCTGCAGGTATGTGATTGATGAGAGTTTTGAGGTTTACAGGTGCTAAAAGAAGTGTCCTTGCTGAATGTAGCAAAGCTGGGAAAAGCCTTACCTGAACAGGTACACTGCAGAGGAGATGAGAATGACAATAACAACTACTCCTGCCACAACTCCGATGACAATGGCAACGGTGTAGTCGGAATCCTCTGTGCCAGGGTCTTCAGCTGAAGAACAAACAAGAGCCTGTTACTGAAAGCTAACCATGCTGTGAACAGAAATGGTTTTTCTCCACCCTTTTCTGTGTGTTTGTTATTTTTTGTGTTCTCTGTGGCTTTCTGGAGTGGTGTCAGACCCAGGTCCTGTGTGCTGTACCAAGCCTGCTGTCCTGCTTTCTGGTACCTCTCCACTGGATTTCTGACCTTTCTCTCTGCTTGGATGATCACAGGCTCTCACCCACTGGGTTACTAACCTACACCATGAAAATGAAGAGCGAGCCCAGTTCTTCTCCACAACAACATCCATTTTTGAAAATGATGTGTTTAATGAGACAGAGAAATACAGAATAGTTTTATTACCTATTTTTTCAGCCTCACAGTTTAGTCCTGTGTAGAGTTCTGAACATTCACAGAAGTGGAGAGAGGTGCTGTTGGAAGTTTCAGAGCAAATGCCATCATTCTTACAAGGATTTGGCATACATGGGCCGCCTGGGAAAAAAGGAAAAACACTTGACTCTCAGATAATCCAACCCTGAAGAGAACTGTTCTTGCTTAGATTACACTGACTCCTAATGCTGCACATCCCCTGTATTTTAGCATGTTTCTTGTATCTGATAACATGAATAAGGGAAAGAAACACTGTTTCTCCAGTGAAACAACAGAGCAAGATCCCTTGCATGGTTTTCTTCTGTACACTCTCTCTTGCAACTATCCCTAACCCAATGAGGCTCTTTAAAGTTAGTCAGGACTTCATAGCATTAAAGACAATGTGATAGCAGTTAACTCACTCCTGTAGCATCCACGAGTGTAGTTTGAAATGTCACAGATTTCTCCAGACCCACACACTTCATCAGAGCAGAAAACAGTGGAGCTTTCTGTGCACTGGCATTTCTGAGAGCAGTCATCAGTGGTGAATATTTCTCCAATCTGGAAAAACAGGAGTTAGATGTTAAAAAAGATCAAATAAAATCAGCCAGAAAAAACATGAATGTAGCCCTGGAACCCTCATTATGCTCTCTCCAATGCTTTCCTGATGAATGGCAATAGGGCAGATAGTTTTTTAAGTAATTTGTAAAAAAAAACCAAAGCAAGAAGCTTATTAATGCAGCTCTCTGAAACTTGAGGATGGCCCAAGAAAGAAAGTAAAAGAAGAGTTTGAGGCATGTGATCCTATCCCCAGGCAGGGTACACGTCCAACCAAAAATAGGCAACTGTTGCTTGGGATGAGTGGCAGATGGATCACATCATACCTCCAAGGCAATGTGGAAATGCTATCTGCCATTTCAGAGTTTTAGAGGGACACCAAGAGATCTTGACCTCTCTTCCCTTTCTCCAGAAATCAGAATTTTAGTAAACAATTTCTCTTTGTTTCTAATGTTTCTACTGCAAAATTACATGCTGAGGATTATGAGGAGATGGTCAAAATAACTAACAAGAGAAGATACTGTTTAGTGGGAGCTGTCTGACCCACAGAGGGACCGTACCTCATAGTATTTGTTAAGGTATGTGCAGCCACACTGTTTGTAAGGCACGCATTCTAAGCCACTAAGAACATAACCAGGGAGACATTCACAGCCTTCAACACAGGGGGATTCACACTCAGAGGGACTGG